ATGAAGCAGCAGCAACTAATCAGTTATCACTCCTTGCTCTTCAGAGCTCAACCGAGGATAAAACATATGTGCAAAATGAATAGGACCAAGGAGAAGAGGGAAATATAACTAGAGAATCAGCACTATAATTCAGACAGATTATATGAAGACCAACAAGTATTCTTTTTTCTTATAGAGGGAAGATTGCTTCAAGTTAATCTACAGGGTCTTGAAGTTGCATTGCGTCCGTGGCATGAAACCATAATGCATTTAATTGATGTCGACCATTTGTTTGATGTAGGAGTCAAGCACATGTTCCAGCAGTTTCATCACATGATCAGTAGGCTTGAGGCCTCTGTAGTTGCCTCTGTCCAAGGCGTCACTCTGTAGTTGCCTCTGTCCAAGGCGTCACTCTTGTCCTTGAAAAGGTTGAGAATGACGCGATCCTATTTCTCTCTTGGGATTACACGACTACTAAAAACTGATTCCGTAAGTAAGCTAAGCATTTCAATGCCTTTATCAGCAGATGCTTTTAGCAATGGCACGCACCAGATGGGCCAGCTGCCTTAGCACACTTCATTTTCTTGACCGCTTTGCCAATCAGTGCTGATGTTACAAATGAAAATGGAAGAGAATCTGTGACTGGTGAAACCACAGAGAGCGTATGACTAGGCCAGCAAAAATCAACATTTAGCAACCTGCTATAATGTTTAATCTAAGCTTTCATCATGTATATATATATATATATATATATATATATATATAAATTTTCTGTAGTTTACTGCTACCAGCAAGCAGAAATATTTCTCCTCCCGATGATGGCCATTTTGGCCTGAAACTAGTCAAGGAATCTAAATGAAATAATAATAAAAAAAACGAAAGAATATTAATCTACAACCCAGTGTGTCTGAAGATTTTAATTTTTAATATTTCTTTTTATTGTTCAATATATATATATATATATATATATATATATATATATATATATATATAAAGACTAAAGGAAAACTTAGTTGACACATTTCCTTTTCTGATGGACTTTATCAAGGCAAATGAACGGACTTTATTTTACACCAAGGATTTATGAACAAAAGTAAAAATGTTGTTAGTTTTTCAAAATTTTTTAATTTAAGAAACACTTAAATATTAATCAGGCTAACTGTAATTTTCCTTTTACAGATATATTTTTAGTTATATCTAAAATTGTGTATGTGTGTGTGTCTCATGTGAATATATACATTTTAATGTTTTTTTGAAGCCATAAGATTTCATAGTCACCACACAGTTTTAAAATTAGTTTCTCTACTTTTTCTTGAAGACAAGCAGCATTACTGAAGATGAAACCGCAAATCGCATTCATCTAGTACATTTCTGTACCTTGAAATAAATTTAAAAATAGTCAATTCTAAGATTAATTGGTTGGTTATTTAACTGGCATATCAATCACTATATGGGTCATTAATGCCGGAATGGTAATTCTAAATAAATGCTATGTCTTGTGTAGCAGAGTAACTAAATACTTGTGCCTTGTAATCAACTGAGGAAAGTCTAAAAATAAACAGAAAATAATGAACTAACCAAGAAAGCTAGATCCAAGAACTAATTGTAGCAGTTCATCTCTTCTGATACTTTGGTTTTTAAAAAGCAATAAAAGTTGCTGACTTGTGTGCCAACATTGACAAAAAAGTCAAAGTTTTGCTACATTTGCATAAATGCCTTCTAACCTCTTTTAATTCACTTGATACACTGCTCATAAATATTTAAGGCTTTGTCATTCGGATTATCACCCTGATTGTTTTTAATCTTCATCAATGCAAGTGATGATGAAAAATTCTCAGTTTCACCAAGAAGGGGTACCAAAATAAAATTCTGATGTTTGGGGTGCAAGCCAGTCTGAGGAATTTTTAGCAACCCATCATACTGTTTTCATTTCTACTGAATTCTATCACAAGCTGAGTGTTTTTAAAGATGAAACTGATATTGAACTACTTATACAAGGGAGATTAAGAAATTTTATCAATGTAGAGGTTTTTTGTCAGGAATCTCCCTAGAGTCTCACAGGTGATATTTATACAGGACCTTTTAAAAAACAACGTTAATAGCAACAGCTTGGGAGATGAGAATGCTAACCAATTCTCTTTAGTATGCGCATTTTAAGTTGAACTCCACAATATAAGAGTTAAGATCCTTATCATAAACTCCATTTTGTTAACCTTTATCACTCTGTATGTGACTTCATTTGCTGTAAAAAACATTTATTCTGCCAATGAAGGTGACTCTGATCCCTGAACAATAGTTTATTTGAACTTCAGTTGTGTTGTCATATCCTTCTAGGGCAACTGAAAACAACTTTGAGTGAAATTAACAATAAGGATACTGCAATTGAGAGGCCTTGAAAAAGAATGCAGTGGAAAGGCAAGTAATATTAATAATGCAGCAGGTTATAGGCCATAATTTTATTTTCAAAAGAATTTAAGTCTCCATAATATTCAGTTTTAAACAATGCGCTAAGCTCCAGCGATTTCAAAAATACAGACAAAAAGTGAATATCTTCATTGAAAAAAAAAAAAAAAAAAAAGAAGGAAATAATGTTTACTGAGTTTTTGAACCCAGATTCTTGTAAGTAGTTTCTGGCCTGAAGGGAAACTTCTCTATATTGACGAAAGTTTCAAGGGAGATAAATGAGCCTGTATGTATGGTTCCTCGCAACAGTAGAGGTCGAGAGTGAAGAAAATTGATATTAAAATTTATAACTTAGAATTGAGCTTATACCTAATCACAGATTGTTTCCTTTGGTTTTTGGCAAAAAGTTATCCAAAAGCACAGTGTATAAACACTAGTGAATAATGTTCTTCAATTGTCAAAAAAAAAATCTACTTTAAACGATTTGAAGAACCTGATGTCTTCTAGTTTTTTTTTTGTTTTTTTTTTATCATGAGCTCTCAATGATGTTAACTATTCAGCTGACCTCAGATATACCATTCTATACAATTGCATTTGGTGATAACTGTTGGTAAATAATATTCACAATCTCTTGTGATAAAGAGAATGAGTATACCCCTTATGGAATTGCTAGATGGTTTCGTAAGTGTCGAAAATAATGCATAAGCAACTGTTGGTGATTACTGAAGAACTTTACGATCATATAAAAAAAAAGTCAAATCTTCAAAATATATATATATATATATATATATATATATATTACACCTAATCCAAATTCAAAAGAAAAAATAAAGGTATAAGACAACTGTAAAGCACAACTTCATTTATATATATATATATATATATACACACACACACACACATACATACATACATACATACATTCATTCTTACTGTATATATATTGAAATATGTGACATTTAATTCTTGTGTGTATTAAGCATTTACAAATTAAAACCCAAAGCATATCCCCAAAATGCTTAAGATGGTCTGAGTATCTTAAAAAATGAGAATGTTTTTGTTGACCTTATAAATTCTTGGTGCCTACCATTAAAAACAAATTCAATTCATTAAATCCAGAAAGCATTTTAAAATTATTACAGTTTGCAGTATAGAAGTGACAGCCTTAATGTAGCAAAAAAAAAAAAAATACATTGGAATTATATATCCCATGTATATCCATTCTAACATGGCCTGAATCATTAGAGTGATTTAGAGATATCAAGCTTTGCTTTCAAGTTTGACCATCAACCATGTAGAATGACTTTGAGGTGCAGATTTTTTTTTTTGGTGGAGGTGGGGGCAAAGAAAAAATTACTTACATGCTGCAAAATATGGTAAGCACATTATTAATTTTGGGAGTGGGCTTATGCACTGTTATATGATCCTTTCTGCTTACCACCCCCCTTTTACCTAATGTAGTTTTTTTTTTTTTTTTTTTTTCTCAGATGGAGAGCTTTTCAGCTATGCAAATTATCAGACCCGATAAATGGGCAGAATAACTGTTTACAAAATATGGTACCAAATACCGAAAATGTTATAGAAAAGATCATAACTTTGTTAATACAATTATCATTCAGTTCTTTTAAAATCAAATTGCATACACACATACATGCACATGTATATAAACAGTTCCTCGATAAATCCAGATCACATTAACATACTTTATCACTCATTTTGTTTGGTCATAATCCCAATGAACAGGCAGCATTGGAGCCAAATAAAATTATCTGCTTCCAATGTTTTCTTATTGATACTGAAATTAATAAAAAGGGCATTTGAAATTGCAGAAGCCATTATTATCCAATGTTCTTAAAAAAAAAATCTAATGCTGGCTAACAAGTTCCCACTGAAAATAAGACATTAAACCTTTAGTTTATATTAAAAGTGATTTATTAAAGTCATTTAGTAACATTTGAGCTATTCTAAACTATTCGTATATAATAGGTAAATTGAGCTATTCTAAACTATTCGAATATAATAGGTAAATTTAGTTTCTATAGGCTTAATGCATATAAAACTCATTTGTAATGGGGTTAGAAAGTAGCTTTTAGCTCACATCAGATGTGTTATGGTTCTGCAGTCTTTTTTGGGAATTACAATCTTTTTGATACAAGTTCTTTGGATTCTATATGATTAGTAAAAGGTTATTTATGGCTTTTTTGAGTAAGTAAAATGAACTGTATTTTTCAGTATAGTAATCGTTTTTTGATTCTTAATTAAGCAGATAACAGACGTCTTCAATGTCAGAAAGTGCTTTCTGCTCTTAAACGTAGGAATTTGCAAGTGTTTTAAACTTTTGCAGACTATAGAAAACATATTAACTATTTCAGGGTGGGTAATGTGCATAGAGTTATTGTTATATTTCATCTTGAAAAATTCAAAATTAAATCAATGTTAGCAATTTAAGTCAAAAAGAAAATTCTGCAAAAATGCCTTGAAAATTCAGCAAAGTACTTTTGAAAGTAAAGGCAAAGAAGAATTTCAAACACTGCCTGAACATTGGAATATTTCTTACCATTTTTACTTTGTCCTTATTCTTCATTATTTACACTTGACTCTTATAATATTCTTGAAAATCAAGGGCTATAGGCAGGTGGAGGCACCATGGGTGTCATAGATGCAATCTCTGGAATGGGACCAGGAGGATAAAATACTTGTTCTAGTCTGTCATAATCATCAAGCAAGGGCTCAGGATCAGAAGTTGTCACTCTAACTGGGTAATGGCGTAGGCAGTTGCAGGCTGTTCCGAGTACTGCTAGGCCTCCTGCTGTTGCTATTAGGTAAAATGAAATTGAAAATGTGACAGAGATGCGGTTGCCAGGATACGGTTTGGTCAGCATCTGCAGATCCTTCACTTCGATTGTCAGGAGGTAACAGAGTCCATTTATGAGCACACAAATAATCACTGTAACGAGAAAAAGAGAGAGAGAGGTAGGGAGAAAACTAGAAGAGTTTGACAATAAAAGATCAACACAAATAGGAAAAATTAACCTTTAACATACTGGAGGTGATCAAGCAAGAATTTTATCCTGCCACTGCAAGTGACTCAGCTGAATGAATAATAGTGTTTGAATTTTGCAGTTGTGCGATCATACCCTGCTATGGCAACAGAAAATCACCATGACCGAAATTTAGTAATGCAGTAGAGGAGCCATGAAAAACAATATAGAGAATAATGCAGTTAATAATAATTCATTATATATATATATATATATATATATATATATACACACACACACACACACACACACATTCTTACTGTATACATAATGAAATATGCGAAAAATTTAAGGTTAAGAACAGAATCAAAATAATCAATGTCTTACAAACTTTAAAGTCAGAAAATAAGATTGCATATTTGAAAGCATTTCTAATTTCATTATGTCTTCTATCTGCTAGTGTAATTACAGGTAATCCTCACTTAATAACTTATCTGTTAACACCCCACCCCAACTTAAAGCAAGCTATTAAATCTCATAAAAATATATCCACCGGGGGTATTTTCACATTGTACAAAAACTTTGATCATGATGGTTTTCTCTTTCTTCAAAAAGGAATCAAAATAAATAAAAGGAATAAATAAAGGGGAAATTAAATAAATATTTATTTGTACGGTATGCACACTGAAGTTTGATTTGGTTAATGGCATGAGGTTGTTCCATGCTCCTCAAAACCTTCCAATCAGAAGCCTTGCTGCCAGATGTAGTTTGTTGTCACACCCAGGATGTGCAAACCAAAGGAATGTATAGAATAAAGAGCTAATTCTTCCAATTTGATTATTACATTTACTGTTCAGTACAACACTATACTGTATAAACATTTAGAAATAAATTAGAAATGTTATACATGATGCAAAAGAAACATTAAAGCTTTCTGAATCTGGTTGACACAAACCCATTACATGCGCAGTATGCCAGAAATAGTACAGTGAACATTTACTTCTACTTTAACGACCACATTGTTTAGTAACCAAGTTATTTAATGACAAGGAACCCTGCTGGTTGTCAAGTGACAAGTACATACATATATATACATATATTAATAAATACACATATACCTATGTTTATTGTGCAACTCAGAGTTTCATGATTAGCCAACTTATCAGGCACAAATGGTAAATGAACCACTTAATACAGTTGTTTTTTAATTTTTTTTTTTTTAAATACTGGGTCTCATGGGAGGAATGCTAAATTGTATGCAGATTCAAAGTTTAAAGTTATTATGAACTTAATATACTACTGGGGTATAAAATATAGTGTTGGTATCGAGATATTGCAGGGGGCGGGGAATCGTTGGGTATTGTGTAAAATGGGGTAACAAAAAAAAAGCAGTTAAGAATTGTAAAGTATAAAGAGTAAGAAATATGATTATGAAGTGAATTGTATGTAGGTTTAAAAGTAGTCTCTATGTTTCAAGGGGGTAACATTCCACTGTATATAGAGCTAACGTTTAATAATATTAGAATGTAGTTAATCATTTTGTGTGTGTGTGTGTGTATGCATAAAACTCTGTTCTAAAGGCATAACTGGAGAGTGATGGAACCAACAACCCCAAGGATTTCTTACACGCTATATATTTTAATCTTTTCGGCATTAAATAACCAACAGAGTTGTTATATCATTAAAACAAAAACAAACAAACCATTTTATATATCAGATATACTTCCAATCAAAAATAAATAATGCATTAAAAGTCTGTACAGTCACTACTTACTTACAACCAGCTATAAAATAAAAAATAAATCCAATTAGTTGGTATTGTACATTGTACAAAAAATTTGACTATGACACTTTTTCTTTCTTCTAATTGAATAAAAAAAAAAAAAAAATTAATAAAGTGAAAAATAAATAAAATTTTACTTGTACTGTATTTACTGTATACAAACTGAAGCAATGAACAGAATACAAAGCTGACTTTGCGATTTGATGTTATTTTTTAATCATTTCACCTCGAACAAGGTGATAGTGGCACAAAGACACTAGGGGTAACTTTGTTGAAAGAAAAGAGAATTTAAGAGAAGGAACCGAAAACCCAATCCTAAACTTCTACGCCTGTTCAAAAGATGGGAAAGGAGTGTGAAATGGGTGATAGTCAAACCTATCTATTTGTGTTTACTGTTCACTGCACTGTATAAACATTTAGAAATAAATTAGAAATGTTACAACTGATGCAAAACTGACCTGAAAGCTATCTGGTTGGCATAAACCCATTACTCATATAGTATGCTTGAAATAGTTCTCAGGTACAACTCCCTTAATAGTCATGTTGTTGGAATGGAACTTGGTCATTAGCTTATGAGTGGCTGTATAATAATTTAAATAGCATACTACTATAAATATCTCTTTAGTAATCTTCAGAATATTAGCTTGTTGGTAACAGATGTAAGATTTATTATACATCATTTCTTTTAATAATGCCATGTCCCTTTAGAACGTAAGTGAGCACACCTGTCCATGGGTTCCTCTTCATCATTTGTGAAGTGATGAATTGTGAAACAAACAAAAGAAAAAAAAAGAAAAAAAAAGACTCAAATTGTGAAACAAAATACAAGAGAAGTAATACTCTTGTTGAAAGAAATTTAGATAACTCAACATTATATAACTACCGTATATACTCACATATCATGTGATTTTTAAAAACCTAATTTTGAAGCTAATTTTAAGAGGGTCACATCAGACATGAGATATAAAATTATGTACTGCTGGCCCTGACTATGCCATTGACCAAACTATATATCCATTTACTGTAATCAAAAAGTACAGCTGTATTTAAAATAAACATGATTTTGTTAAAACTGATGTTTTACTTAACTGTATCCAATAATAATGCATGTAATATTCACAAATTAGTATCGTATTATAAAATACAAACATAGCGAATATGCATATTTTCCATTGTTTACATTTATAAAATGTTTAGCCGTTTCTCGTTTGGTTGTTTAGGGTTATACACATTTATGCAATGGGTATAGCATTACTAATGATACGTTTATCATTCCCTTTAAATTATTTAACTACAAGATGGTGTAAAGAGATAGAGGAAAAGAGGTTAGTCTATTGTAATTTGGTCTCTCAAAAAAGGGACTCGCATGATACACAAGATACATGATAAAATCCTTTTTTATAAGTGAAAGGTTGCATGATATGCAAGATCACACGTTACATGTGTATATACAGTAAATCATAATAGGAACAACTTTAATCTATCCTATTATAATTGTACTTGCCTCTCCCTTCGTTAAGTCGCATGACTATTACACCCTGCCAATACCTCATAAATAATGGACCATTCCATTTTGATTATATTTCTTGTTTAAAATCAGTATCATCCCATTCGAGGCAGATAAAGCCACTAAGATACAAGGGGTTACCGGGTGTGAAAGAATTAGGAACAGAAACATTAATAATGAGCAGGAAGAGGAAAAAGCAATCACCCCTTGCCACCTGCAAATGTTGGTTGTGCTGCGATCAATATTACTACTGATCCCCCCCCTCTTTAGTGCAATGAAGGTGGTACTGTTATGGGCAGCTGTTTCCTGAGACAGGGTACCTCTCAATATTTTAATTTGTAACCTGTCAACAGACAGAAACACAACTGTGAGATGAAATGTCATTTATTCGCCCGAGGGCAGATATTACATTTTGATGCCAGCTAAAAGGTGAAGAAGCAATGGCAACCACAATAAACATGACATTTTTTTAGACGTAGAGTATTGAACAATGGAAACCAAATTAATTACCAAAAATTCAGTTACCATAAATAAAATAACAGTCTACTGAATTATTTTTTTTTTTAATTATTATTAAGAGAAATATTTACACTATTGTCCTCATCTTTGTTGCCATATTTATAGCAATGTTTTAGTCGTTGTATGCTCCAGCTTTCTTTGGTTGGTTGGAATGTCGAAACTGAACCCTTTATTTCGCTCGCTGAGGTAGACTGTTCTAGTTCCACGTGTCATGTCTAATGGATGTCAGTTATCAGATATCTCCTGTTAATTCCCCTCTCCTAGTTCTCCACCACCTTAACCAGGTATTGAACCTACACTCATATACTGTTACTGGACCTAACTAACGCCTTTATCCACTGTGCCATGTGACCTTGAGGATCCAGTTAGTACAAGTTAAATCTTTAGAGTCAGTTTTATGATTCTGAATTTAAACCAAATATATTTTCTAATAAATGCAGTATTTTAGGTGGATAAACAATTTAGATTTGAAATTTTATTATCAATGCTGCCAGCGAGGCAACAGGTGCCAAACAAGTTAATAATAATAATAAAAAAAAAAAAGAAGCCTTACCTGTGGTGATACTAGGAATGGCATTTCTATGTATTAACTTGAGTGCTTTCTGTGTTGGCCCCAGCAGATCGAGGAAGAAAGAACATACACTACAGATAATAGCCAAAAATGTGAACACAATGATGGACTTCATAAGCCACACACCCTTCAAGGTGATACAGTCTACCAACACTGAAACATGAAACAAAGCAAAATAAAATTAGTCTTATAAGCTGGCCTAAAAGTGACAATACAAGTAATTTTTTGTTGTTAGTAAGATCATTCAGCTTTAACAAAGTACAAAAATATGTTAAGATTATTAATTACCTATGTTAATGCACAATTTAATCAAATAAAATAATTAAAATTTGCAAATAAAAGTTATTCATGATATTTGATAAATAAATTATAAATATCCAACTGGTATGTCACCAGATAAATTAATTTAGACAAGGAAAATTACAGTTTCAACTAGTGCACTAGTCTTGATTCTTATACTTAAAGTTGAAAGATAATGAAATTTGTTGATTTCACTGAGAAGTTTGTCCTTGCTAGAATTTACTACACCACCAAAACAGGTTTAGGCAATAAACTGTGTATTTTCCTTTTAGCAAGCCATAAAAATGTTTCACTTGTTACAGTTAGTTAAACACAGTTTTTCTTCACTTTGGCACCTGAAATACATTTTCCTTTCAAATTGCACCTATTTGATGACCAATTTAAAAAATGTCTTTATTTTCATGTCCTAACTATCAGTTACATCGTCTTAATTTTAATCTTCATGGATTTCTTTTTACAATTGACTAATTTTAAAGCAATAAAAATGTGTGTACTGAGTTAAGGCATTTTAGTGTTCTTTAAAGCAAAATGATAGCCCTTGCTTTGCAAAATGGATATTATATACACAGGGAAAGTAAATACTTAAATCCTGTGATAACTGATGTTAATATCTTGGTTGTTATACTCACATTTTGGCTTTTGTATTCTCTTAGTTGTCTGTTATTGTACCATCCCAGAACTCTGAACCAAACCTTTATTCAATTCACAGAGGAAGATGATTCCACCCCCGCCCATTCTGTTTTCCATGCTAAGGTTAATACTGGTATTCACTGTTCTTATTCACCTTGTTATGTTTCTTCCACTGAACCAAAAGTTGGTGACTTTTCAGCATTTTTCTTCTGACCAAGGGAGACCTGACCTAATATTGGTTAAAACATCTGTTTTTATGGAACTGGAAGTGTTGAAAAGTCACATACTTGAAGGAATGAACAAGTGACATATAGGTAAATAAGACCATGGATTGAATAAAGTGTTTGGTTTGAAATTTCTAAAGAAGCTAGAGGGTACAATTGCCAAAATGTGTTTGTCTAGACCAGGATTTCTCAACCTGATTGATTTTAACTGTTGGGTGGTTGATGAGCAACTGAACAGAAAATGGTGGGCAATTGGAAATTTTGGTGACTGATATAGGATTTTGAGTATAAAAAATGTATTTCAACATAAGCTACCCACCAAAAAAATATTCAAAAGTGATATTCAAAGAACCTGTATTAAAAATGAAACATGAGGCTAAATGGGAATACCTGGATTCTGAGATAATATATATAAATATCCCTGCAAACAATTAATATTTTGGTATTTTCTATAGTTTTGAGAAGGGTCATTAATAATCAAATAGTTCTTCAAATGAAATTACATTTTTATGGATATAACAAAAAAAAAAAAAATATTTGCTGAATTTTTATTATTTGCTAGTAGTGTATATCTTTTCAATTTTATAATTATGAACAAAAATTGTTTAATTTTTTGTCAATACTTGCAATGCTAACCCTTATCATATTTCTGTCTATGTTTCTGAGATGAGGTATTATGTACATTATTTGGACTATTGTTTCTCATCTTTGTCGCCATATGAATACAATATGGGAACCAGTAATAAGGAGTAGTGCCAGAGAAAAGTGATAATAACAACAAAAATTGCAATATGAGCTCTGGTAAAAAATGATTGCTGAAGACATTAGGGTTATAATACCCAGAAATTCATACACATTCAAGGACAGTGGATAAAAAGCGTTAGTTAGATCCAGTGACAGGACCCAAAGAGTGTGAGTTCAATACCCGGTTAAGGCAGTGGAGAACTTTCAGAGGGAAATTAACAGGAGATAACTGATATCCATTAAACATGGCACATGGAACTAGAACAGTCTCCCCCAATAAAGCGAAATAAAGGTTTCAGTTTGACATTCCAACCACCTGAAGGCCGGAGTGTACAACAGCCGAAACATTGTAATAAATATGGCGACAAAGATGAGGGCAATAGTCCGAATAATGTAAATTATATATATCAACACCAATTATCACAGAAATGAAGTATTTACTTTCATCCTGTATGCAATATCCTTTTGGCAAACCAAGGGCTATCATTTTGCTTTAAAGAACACTAAAAAGCCTTATATATATATATATATATATATATATATATATATATATAACTGAATGGGTAAATATAGGTAGGTATACAAGTGAGTGATTGTATACAAATACTCTATAGTGTAAGAAAAAACACTGCTCAATGTTAAGTAACAGAGTTATTTAATATATATATATATATATATATATATATATAAAAGAAATATGTATATTTTTCTTATATATATATATATATATTACATATGATAGAGCAAAAAAGGCATGACCCTATTAATAAAAAGCTTTTGTCTATTCGATTGAGCACTATTGAGAAAAAGATAATTCTAAAACACACTGCACTTCATTAATGAATTGAGCACTGTTGGCTACAGGCGTTTGTTTACATCCATAAAACAATACCTTAGAATTTCCCTTTCTCTCTGTTGTGTGCCGATAGCTTAGGGGTAGGATCTCTGACTGATGCAAAATTGGTAGGGTTTCGTTTCAATCCCAGCATAAAGCAACCGGATGTCTAGCCACACTGATGAGCTTTGATACAGCAAAACAGGCCTGTATATGAATGACCATATTAATATATATATATATATATATATATATATATATATATATATATATAGTTTTTAATGGTTAAATTTGATTTTGCTTAATAATAGCAGCTGTCACACCATGTCAGTGTTACTTGTTACCTTCCTTTGGTATTTTTTACTACATCATAAAGTCAGTTTATGAACCAGTAACAAATTTTTACCAAACAATTTTGGTATGCTTTTGCATATTCATTATACAGGTGGGTGGTAGAAAACTTTCCCTATGTGAAAATGTGTGATGACCAAGGCAATCCTTATACTTTAAGGATTGCCTTGGCAATGACACAAAAAAAAGGATGGAAAACCCTGGTCTCGACCAACCAAAATGATAAAAAGGGTTTAATTTCCTGGTGTTGGTGAAGAGAGATGACTATGAAAATGCCAGCCAGAAACATTGATTTGTTTTCTATAGCTTATCAACCCTTTGCAGGTTATTTAAAGCCAGAAAATATTTTTAGATTGCAAGAATTTCTTTTTTTTGAGATAAAAATGATTTAGTGATAGAAATCTTACTAATTAATCCATAGCTGGAGGGATAAGAGGTGGATTTATGCCTTTCCCAATGGTATTTGTGGATAATGAACCCAACTAGAATTAGAACCCAGCTCTCTGATTAACAATTTTATTATATATTACACCACCCACACATCGAAGCTTACAGCACCTGGTATTTCCAAGTGGTTGCCCAGGTTTGGCATTGCTTAACTTCGGTGATCATATAAGAACCAGTGTTTCAACGTAAGCCCAACCAGAAACATACCACAAAATAAATGTCTTTTTGACTAATTTAGTATCCCTTATGTTTATTTTGGCACATACAGACCTATAGGTATATAACAGAAAAAATTCTCCAATGAATTAAAAGCAAGTGGAAACAATTTTTCTTGCAAGAATCTATCTTACACATTTTTTAAGTTTATCATTCATCCATGTTTTAATATTGCTGTTATATCTCGTCTGGTGCTTTTGCCATGCATTTAGGGATTCATGATAAAATACAAAGACGAATCTGCAATATTAATGGCCCTGACCTGTCATCACAGCTTCAGTCATTTTATCACCACCTTAACATAGCTTCCTTGTGCCTTTTCTATAAATAGTTTCATGGTAATTGTTCTGATGAACTTTCCTTTTTGGTATCTAGATTTTATGAATTTAAGTGCAGTACTAGATTGGTGGCAAAGTCTCATTATTTTATAGTTGAAATGGAAGTAACTGTAAGTTCTATGTTAGAAGTTTCTTCTTCTCATACTTCTCACTTGTGGAACTCTCTCTGCCTTCTTTCTTTTCAGTCAACTTTGATCTTCAAAAGTTCTAGCTTCTATTTTCTTAATTTCTCTTTTACTGTTATCCTTAATGTTTTCTTTTTCACATATTATTTCATACTCAGTAGCTCTTTGCATCTTAGTAGCTTTATTCCCTTGCTTGGGGTGAAATGTTTAAAAAGAAGAAAAAAAGAACAATATGCTATCAAATTTAGATGAATAAACAAAAACCTATGCTTAAATTTTTTTTTATTAATACTTATGTTTATAAACACCTCTTACATCAAACTATGAAGATATAGTACAATTAATTTCTTTGCTAGTCAAATAATCATGACTAATAGGAAGGCTTTTACCAGTTTTTCTTGTCCTTTATGCTTTAAAATTGTTAGACGAAGGTTTTGGACACAGTGTAATGGTTTAAAAAAATTTATTTCGCTATTTGACATTTTTATTGCATAAATTCTAGGTTAAAGAGACAAAATATATAACTCACCTTCATCAGAACTTGGACCATATTTATAGCCAAAGGCTACCACCACCTTTCCATTCACTTCCACACTGGGTCGACCATCATCACCAGGGACCAGCACCTCCCCTGCTGCTCGCATACCACCGTTTATGTTGGCCACTGCAGCTGAATGTTGGTCAAGGAAATAACCGGGATAGAAAAACTGATATACACCCAGGTGCTTTTCTTTGCACCCACCACCCGAAACAGCAATCCAGTTGGGTTCAACAAGAGCTGTGCAAAGGACAACAATAACCAACATGCTGACCACAGCAGACAGTAGATTTCGTTCCCGTTGCTTCATAAGGCGCCGATGGTGATGATGGTGGTGATGGTGACCAGAAGACACAAATGCTGCAGCAGAGGTGGTTGACGAAAAAGGACCAGCCCCACTGGCAGCACCCATGGCAGAGGATGTGGAATGAAGCTGGTGATAACCATGATGGCTTGCAGAGAACAATGATGAGGTGGAGGACATTGTTGAAGATGAGTGAGCACCACTCAATGTGCTGTTAAGGGCAGTCGCTGTGGCGCTACTCGTAGACGAGGAGCTCGCCGTTCCACCAGCCTCGGAGGCGGTGACAGAAGATGATGAGTTACCAATGATGACAGTTGGGGGCTGACTAAGACAGACAGTATTGAGGATGCTGTTGAGCAAGTGGCTGCTGCTTCGGCTGCTGCTTCTGTTGCTGCTCTGGTGGTGGCGATGTTGCTGACCACTGCCAGAACTCACCCTCTGTAAGACTGCAATGGACGGAGTTGGACCCCCACTGATGAATGTAGAAGCTGCTGGTAGGCACCTAAATGGTAAGACGCCAGAAATATGGGATTGAGGAGTCAAGGAGATCAATAAAGGGTCAATAGCACTAGAATATGATGGCAAGGAGTAAGGATAAGAGTGGACAGCGTACTGGGATAATTGGATGGCTTGTCCAGTGCTGAAGACAAGATCACTGTTAGAGATGTAGCAATTGTGTGGGGCTGTTGAAGAAGAAACAGTAGTTGTGGTATTGCTGTTAGTACCTAATGAACGTGTTAAGAAAGTAGAAATCCTAGATTCAGAAGAGATTAAACTGGAGCAATATGGCGGTGGGGATTCAGATGATGTCACAGTGCTTACATCGAAAGGTCCAATGATAATTGCATTGGAGGCTCCAACTGTGTTGTTGGTATTGATGATGATGGGAGATGATGATGATGAGAAAGAGTTTGTTCTGATTGCACTGTTATTTGGGCTACGAATGGAATTACAATGAATCCGCTGATGATGGCTTGAAGTGAAGTTTATGTTGTTGTTCTGACTGTTGTTTGTGTTGTTATCGTTACCTGCAGATCTTGAATGACGAGAAATGTCGGGCATAATTCATTCAACAAAACCAACTAAGGTTTATTATTATTATTTTTTTTAACACATTATATAACTGTTAACAGTAACACAATCCTAATAAAACGTATCTTATTTAATTATATATATATATATATATATATATATATAAACAAAAAAACAAAAAGTAGAAACTTAAAGTGTATCTTGTGCGTGTTCGTTATTGTGGCCACATAAAAATGAATTTGACCAAACAAAATTCACAAATGATGAATCATTTGTTTTTTTTTTTTTGTTTTTTTTTTTAGAAAAAAAAAGTACAACTTCAGCGTATATACGATTGGGATGTAAGGGAATTGAACTAACAATCTCTTTTCATTACGTGTTGTATCAATGTCTACACCTTTGAGACTAATTTATAAAATAAATATTAATTTCAGGTAATTACCACACCTTAAGTTAAAAAAAAAAGTGTAAGTGTCCTACATAGTTAAAAAAAGAAGAAAATCCTGGAAACAACCATTGGATCGTGTCAGGTCCTGACAGTCAGAAGAAAACGTTCTTAGGTACTTTAGTATTTATTAGTTGATATTGATTGTTATTTATATAATTGAAGTAAACATTAAATTTTCACAAAATCTTACCTTTTGTAAAATTTAAACACCTATCTTGTTTGTGTGGTGGAGTGAGATGATACGCAGTTATTTAAAAAGAAATGTAATGCTTCTATTGTGCACTGTGTATACAATCTATTCAATGATATTCCTAGTCTATCTTTGTTTTTTTGTTGATATCATTAAACAACACTAATTGTAAAATAAAATAAAACTATACATTTCACTTTCAGTTAGAGGGGAAAAATAAAATTTCGTGTTTTCTTTCTTCCTGTTCAATTACAAGAAAAAACTACGTTTTCTACACACATAAAAATAAAATAATCTTTCTTTTTAATTTTATCATCAAATTTTTATGCTCTGTAAGTTCTGTTCAGTTACTGTGTGTTTGCTAAGTGAAGGAAAAGAAATATCGACATGTTTGATGTATTTTAAAAAATAACAAAACAGATTTACAAAAAAGTTATTTTCATGAAACCAGTAATTAATTTACACACAATGTGCAATTAATTACGAGATAACAAGTGCTTGTTAGGTTTCTTTGTTGTAATGTTCTCCGTTTTCAGAATAATACACGTAGATTTTGTTTTGTCTATCTGTCGTACCTTCCAGTCTAAGAATTTATGGACATGAAAATAATGCAAAAATAAGTGTTTACAGTTTTTGTTTAACATAAAAAAAAACTCAAATTAAGTACAAAAAAAAAAAAAACAAAAAACAAAAAAACAAAACAAGTATATAAACTTTACCAAGCTATAAAATTACAAAGGAAAATTTATAGAAATGTTGCGTGTGTATTTTGAATGGGAAACTATCTGTGGTATGAAAATATGATATTGTTGTTTTCAGTTGGTAAAACAAAAACAAAAAAACCCAAAAAACTTTGGAATTTTATATTTTTCTTTAAACAAAGAATATTTAATATTATTTAACATTAATAACAAGTACAAGAATGGAATTTCCTCAAATAAATTATTTTAAGAAATTAAAACAAAATAAATATTTAAATTTTAAGCTATTATTAATGATCGTTATTTGTTTGTTTGTTTTTTAGCGGCGATTTATTTTTTTACGTTTTTTAAAACAAAAAAAAAGTATTATTTTTTTAGCAAAGAAAAATAAAACTTAAAAAAAAAAATGACTAAATACCTCCCTGGGGAAGAGGGGAAAATCTATATCGTAAATTTATCCGTGCCCGATTTTCTTTCTTTAAGTCCAGGGCACCTTTTTCCAAAGAAACACCATGAGCCCCTTCTGAATTTCCTCTGTTCGTAAAAAAAAAATGGGGTTTTACTAAGGAAATCCGTCGTCTTGTTTATTATTTTCTCTACTTCTTCCGTGTGAATTTTTGGGTGGTTCCCCCCTGAAACAACTTCCGGTTTGAGCGTCGTGCATGCGCATTGGTGGTTATATTGTTGTAAAAAGTTGGATTACTAAACACGGAACGAAACAAAAATATTAAACGTAAGGAAAACAGTGTGTGCGAATATGGTTAAAAAAAAAGTTGATAGATAATGAACATTGTTGATTTCACGAGCAAGTATATCCTTGCTAGAATTTACTACATATAAATATACATACTTTCAAACACGCACGCTGATAAACAAACAATACAACACATGTGTCTAAAAATATAATTATAGAAATTAATTGTCACCAAAAAACTGGTTACGTTTTTAGGCAATAAGTTGTGCATTTTCCTTACAGCAAGAAAAAAACTAAAAAGTGTTTCCAATTATTATCACATTTTGGTTAGATACAATGATTTTCTCCACTTCAGCAGCTGGAATACATTTTCCTTTCAGTCGTAAAATAAAATTAATTTTTTATAAATTGGTGATCATCAGATAGGTGATCTGATGACTAATTTAAAAAGATTTCTTTTGATTTTCATGCCCTCAGTAACTATCGTCTTACACTTACAGTCTTCTTATGGATTTCTTTTTATAATTTATTTATTTTTTTAAGTAAAGATTAAATGGGAATGTGTGTAAGATTTTTAAATGTTCTTTAGAGCAAAATCAGAGTGTTTGGTTTGCGAAAAAAACGTTATGTACAAAAGAAAAGAAAAGTAATTTCTTTAACTAAAACAACATATCTCATCATCAGTTGTGATAACTTGTCTTATGGAAGAAAAATGAATAAGAAAATGGATTTTTGATAGGGATTTTCTTTTATTTATAGATCACGACAGCTATTTAGGGAGATGTGGTTAAATATGCTTAATGTTTAAAAAATATTCAGTATTGTTTAGTTTACTTTTTAGGGCAAGCATTCATAGCGCAAATATCGTGGAAAAAATGTGACATTCAAGTTATACCGTATGGATAATACATTATTAATTACGAATTTTTTTTAATTATTTATGCTCAATTCTGCTGATGTGTTAACATTTTGGAATAAAGTAATAAATAATTTAAATTTCATCTCTCTGATAGATGTCGCGATTTGTTAGACATCATAAGAAATAACTTGTACAGTGTAACCCGGATATAAGAGAAACCCGGATATAAGAGAGATTTTCTCTGGTCCCAAATTAGAGCCTGTGTTAATGTATATAAAATAGACCAAACCCGGATATAAGAGACTTCTTCTCCGGTCCCGACAACTCTCTTATATCCGGGTTACACTGTATATTTTAAAAGGTGAAAGAGAAATCTGGGAAGGAAAGAAAACTTGTGTATAAGAACAGCCAAGCATGACATACCCGGTGAGGATCGAACTCACTGCTCAGTCGCAATTGTTCTAGCAAGAACAAGCTTGCTAACCATTATTACACCACGTTAAGGTGCCCAAACAACATTAATTTCTTATGAAGTTTTCGTGGATAGTTGACTCTTTGTTTAGAAATAATTGCCTTACCTGTGAGATTCAGTGACAATACCTGAGAAATGTCTTTGTTGTCTGATAAATGGTATAAGAATTTATTTAAAAAAAACAGTTGAAAAATTCGAATAAACATTTTTATACAAAAGATCTTTATTAATATTAAAAGGTTGAAAAGCTCTCCTTGTTCCAAAAGTCATGTGACAATTGGCAGAAAACATACACTTTGACTTGTGAAATAGCAACTAGACAAAATTTGTATGACGCTATCTTCCATAATTCGACCAAGAAAATTTAATAATATCCCACATTGCGAAACGATTCCATTTGGTATATAAATATAAAATTTACAAGGTTATCAATGGAAATGCGATTTTTGGAACACCCTGTATATTCAGGTAAAAAAAGTGATTTTAACTTTTAATAATTCTAGTTTCAATTTGACAACCAATAATTTGTAAAGTAATAGATGGTAAGGATTTTTAAAACACTATATTCACAATTTCATTTTAGGCAAAATTTGTGCTAAAAGACGACCAGACAAAGTTGAAATCTGATAGTCTTAAAAGAATCTACTTAACACTCAACCTGATTTGTTGATAAACCATTTGAAAGAAACAGTTAATCAACATTAGCATTTTCATTTACATGACCTAAAATTAATTTCTGGATAAATTCAGGTGTTTGATAAGTAAAGTATATTCACTGACTCATAGTCCACAAACAAAGAGTGATATGGTAGGTTTTCTGAAAGTATGTGTGGTAAGTGTGTTCATGTGGTGGAGACGTGTTAATTAACTATTTTGTCGGGTCATAAATGTCAGAAAGGTGAAGGTGAAGGTGAATTAGCTGTTTCCGCACACATTTTAAACTTCTTCATTCAATTTTATCAAAATTGATAAAACATAGGACAGAAACAACAAATCTCAGATAACAACAACAACAAGAATATTTTATATATAGCATAAACAAAAAATATGTGTTGGTTGAATTTTAGTGAATGAGAGATATGATTGGTGGATTTTAAATTTGCTTTTTAAATTCTTATAATGTTCAGTGTCACGTGAGGTTGAGTTCACTGAATTGAATGTTTTCTCTTATTGTGAAATTTCGATACAATTTTTTATTAAGTAAACTTTAAATTAAATTTTAAACAGTTTTTGAATCAGTTTCTGAAAAGTTGTTTGCTTTTGATTTGACTATATGTTTGTGTATGTCAAAAATTGCATAAAAAATATCTTACAAGTATTCTGGAAGGTAGTTCGTTCTTCAGTCGAGAATTAAACTTAATGAACAATAAATTCCGGTGTACGAATGTTCTGTAGATTCGGTCGAAAATCAATACGGTGATTGAAAAGTTTTCACTAATAAATGAATCCAGAAGTAGTTAGCGAGTGAGTGATTGAGTTGAATATTTTAACTTGAAATACAATGAAGTTGTTTTCGTGTTGAAGAAATTGACATTCTAACTTTGCACTTCAATGATACAAGCGTCATGAACTAGTTTGGTAATTGCTTGTCGTGCAAAAATGCTCACTGACTAGGTTTTCTCTTGCATTGAATTTATTTGTTTTCAAGTCACGTGATAGGCTCACGAACTCGTTTTGAAATTTTGGCGGTCAACTCACCTTAAACACTACTGCATGGGTGTTGTTGCCATTTTTCATATTTATTGACCAATCGGCAATATCATTTATAAAAAACCAATTTGGATCCACTTCGTGTTTAGGATGTACAAAATTTGTTATCAGCAAGAGTAAATAAATACACAGTAAATCTACTTGAATTTATTATCCAATGAAATTCACTAAATCAGAATAATATTATAATTAGATACTGGAAATTGGTGTATAGAGGTTAAGCTCTATATTCACGTCGGGAGGTCACCAGCCTAGATAGTGATTTTGGTATTCTTGTGAGAAATTTAGCGACTCCCCAATTTGAGTTGTGGCAGATGAACAAAGACGAGAGTTGTGGCAGATGAACAAAGACGAGAGTTGTGGCAGATGAACAAAGACGAGAGTTGTGGCAGATGAACAAAGACAGTTTAAAAAGCATACTTTATATAAGAAATAAATTATACAACGGGAATTAGAACAGAGGATTTCTAAAATGTATTCCTTCAGCAGTTAAAGTTATTGACATCGGGGACAAAATCCAAATACATGTATATGTTTGAAATTGATTGAAACACTCATTTGATGCTGTTCATATTATTCATGTGATGATTGCTTTATGCATCATTCAAGTTTGCTCGTGGTCAGCATTACCTGTTCTTGGAGCAGGCTAAAAATGCATCCGTTTACTTCACTCGTTTTGAAGCTTTGGCGCCTAAATATCATTTGAAGAAGAAATGTTCATACAATATATTAAATGATCTGACACGAAATAATAGTAAAAAATGTTTAAAATAAAGGTAAAGGTTCATTATTCACAGAAGGGTTGTATGGTTGCTTACGTTCAAAAGTAAACGAAGAGAGATAGTATGAAGTAGTTTCTTGGATTGTTGAAATAAAGTTCTTTGAAGTGCTAAGTGCTTGGTTAAGGCCAATAATATAATTTGACACTGGCGAAAATCTGGACGAGTGAACAGAAATGAAATTTTTGACATGATTTCAAACACTCTACTCTAGTTGATTAATTTTTTTCTTATTTTATATCAAAAGGGGTTTTGCATATTTTTTTTTCTAGGCTCAGCGGCTAATTCATGTGAAAAGGATTTCATTAGTCGAAAGAAAATTTCGCATAGGCTCGCGAATTTCTTTCCGCCTTTTTCCTCAGCTTGCCTAAATTTGAAGGGATGGGTAAAGGTAGTTATTATTTCATACTCACCATAAAACTTTTGGTATTCAGCGTAGCAAAAAGTTCGTTAATAAGGCGGATATTGGTAGCAGTCTGGAGAAATGTCCGTTAGTGGTAGTTTGAAGTGAAACCATGATAGGGATAGTAGTGATCTTAGAAATAGGTCAGTGGCAATCTAATGCGTTTTTCTTGGCCCTAAGCAAGGCGTAAATATCATTAGCAGAAGACCTCTTAACTACTACTTTACGCGTTACGCATGGCCGGCTTCTCTGCGATAGCGTCTCAGTTTGTCAGTCTCGCTGTCTCTTTCTGGCTGAGGTGTCAGCTTATATACGTTTTGACCAGGCTCCGAGACAATGGTTTTGGCTAATATCAAAAGTCTCTTTTTGTCAGTTTTTTTGATTGGCCAAAATTATTTTATTTTCTGGCATTCCTTTCTTTTTCATTTTTTTTTTATATAACGTGGAGCCTCCTTAATTTTCGATTTTTTGATATTTTTCAGTCACGTTTTTCAGACGGGTTCAGTTTTTTCTTATTATTATTTGAGTGTTGCCTTCTCGCAAGTTAAGTGAGAGGTATAGAAAGAGAAGTTTAGAGAGAAAGAGATAATGGTTTTAAAGAAAGCGCAAATGTCTTAATCTGAATTCTTTGTATTTTTCTTTGTATTTTTTTTATTTTTTTTTTATTGGGAGAGATGTTTTGGGGGAAGATGATGTAAGAAATTCTGTCATCCATGATATTTTTTTTATATTAAAAATCTGAACGTCCGAATTCCAAACAATTTCTATCTATAAAAGGCAAGATGTGTGTGTGTAACGAATGCACGGCCGCAATTTTTGACGGATTTGCACCAAAATTTACATGCACATGCTCCAAGTTAGCGGGAAGGCCAAGACCAACCTTGCATTTCCCAACTCCCATCGATAGTAGAAATGATCGATTTTTTCATGCTTCTACGGCAGTTTTAATGTAGTTTGCGGCCATTTTGTACTGGCCAGAGTGAGAGCCTATAGCTAGCTGCCACGAATAGGCAGGAAGATTCTATTGGCCAGCGTGAGAGCCAACAGCTGACTGACACACATGTTAACTAGCATACTAGCACGCAAAAAAAATCGATAGCTGCATTAGTCACAAGTGGGAAAAATTTAAATTTGCATGGCACTTTACTCCAATTGGCTCATTCGCTTGCTTAAAATCAACGCTGATTCTGATTCCGCAGAACTGGGTTGGGTGTGAAAAAGTATTTGTTATTAACATTCTTTTTTCATTCAGTTTTTCCAGTTATGAGTCCTTTTTTAAAGCTGATCGTTTTGTGTTCATTTTGTTTAGTTCTTTTTTCGTAACAGAGCTTAGAAAAAATTCGCAGTGTGAGATAGGCAAGAAGTAAGGCATGTAGCAACATCAGCACTGCAAAGGGCACTCCTTTAAAGGCAAGGAAGGGCAAAAATTTTTTAAGTCAAGTGATAGCGATTGCTGTATGGGTCGTACGATTTTTGAATTGAGCACGGGCAACGCCTGACCATGCTGTTAGTAATAAAATAAAATAAAGAAAATATGGGAGTGCCTGTTAAATAAATCATTTGTATTTACAAACATACACGAATTAAAAAGAAAAGAAAAGAAAGAAGTAAAATAGGAGTAAAAATAGTCTTTAGTTAAATTAAAGTCTTTGAGTAGTTAGTCCATAGTCAAAGCCGTGTTTGAGAGAAGGCTTTTAAGTAGTTGGTCCACAGTAAAAGAAAGTGGTTGATTGAGAAAAGACTTTGATCATCAGCGAAGATTCACTGACCGTCTCTGCTGTTATTGCTGGAGAGGATTCAATTAATGTCTTCGACACATGTTTCTTTCAGCACGTGCTAGGGGGAAGGAAAAAGTTATATAGTCACGTGTCCTCTTGTGTTTGAACAGTTTGGAGACAGTGACATCTCTGTTCACGAAAGAAAATTTTCGAAAAAGTAGTCTCGTGTAAAATAAGTTTTTAGCCTTTTCTGGTTAGTCAAATATATCACGTGATGTTAATTTCTAACCAATAGACACTATGATATAAATGCTGTTGAAATCTTTTTTGGCATGTTTGTAATATTATCTGTTATTAGATAGAAAATAGTCATGTTTTAAAATGTTTTGTATGTGGTTACGTAACTCTGCTGAAAATAGGTTTTATTTCCTATATATTCTTTGACTCATAGGGTGCCAATAGTCCTCAAGCACAGAAAGATTTGATAGGTCTTCTGAAAGATTTTTTTTTGTGTGTGTGTGTGTGTAGGGGGGGATGATGAAAAGAGAACACTTCAATTTCAGATCTGCAGTATTATGAAAAGCGCAAATGAAAAA